ACTCTCTGAGTTAACAAATTTAATTCGATATCTCTGTTAATCAATTACTTCTTTTCTCTTTCCTCCCCCCTTCCTCCTATATATTAATTCCGAGAACGTAATTCCTACGTGATCTATATCTTCTTTTACTCACGGGAATATACAGTGGCAGTTCGTTCTATTGCATATTTGAATGAATATTATCTGTGTGTCGCGCGGGTTAGCTTCTCTATTCAGGCAGCAGACGATCTCAAACCGAGTGGAGCTAATTGTATTGTGTACGTATAACAAATTTGAGCGATTCACCACACGTCATTGAACAAGCCACTTGCGAGTTCCACTCGGCACGCGCGCGTGCCGCTAGAATAACACTAATCCGTTTACTTGTCACTTAATCGAAAGTCGTAATTAATAAGTAAGTCGCATACCCCGCGTGTACAAAGGAAAGCCACGCCCACGCTTCGCCGCGACGGCGTCGTTACAGGGAGGAAAGAAAAAGGGTCATCGTACGGGGCCGCCTCCGCATAGTGCGCTATTGCGGTCGAAAGGAACCCGTATCTCAACGGGATCCCTTGAAAAATGCGTACAAAATGTCTCGGTTGTTATATATACATATACATCAGAGGAGCTTCGCGCATTACGAAAATATAATCAGCGTTTAATTTTTCCGAATTCCGAATTTTGCGGACAATTAATTATCGGCTGTTGTTCGCGGGCATAGACGGATTTAGACACTTTTTGGAGAATCTGCGACCTTTTAAATCTTTGTTCGAATAATGTTAATCACCAATTACAGACCCTTCGACCCTTAAATTAGGTCTTCCTCAGTATGTGAGTAACAAATATCGGAGTCCGTGTAAGACATTTCTATACATTGCAGAAAGAAAGGCGAATATGATATACATGTACTGTCATTGAATCATCATTAAGCTGTTGTCTAACATAAAATTAAAAAACTTTAATCGTCTGTCGTATTTGGTTAATATTCGAATCAAATTTCGTAATTTAAATTTGAACTCAGCATAACGATGCTTCGTTATAATGCGCTGCGATTATACTTATATCTTGAGAGTGTGTAGAAATTAGATTAGATTAGATTATTAACATTTAACATCAGATTATTGATATTCTTAAAAATGGGGTATGTACTTATTAGCATCAAAAATTATTAAATTACTTGTTAATTTATTAAGTGATATTTCTACTCTGGTTCTGCTCGTGATTGCATTTCAAAACTGAACAAATTTTGGCGCACGGTAGAATTATATAGTTATGTATATAAATTCTCACATAGAAATATTTAAATACTTAAGATTCACTTTAACTGGATGTAGAATTTTCTTCGTTTAATTAGATTTATTCTCATTCATCCAAATTTGTATCATAAAAAAAATAAATCCGAATATTTCGACTCCTTCCCTGCTCTTCCCTTTCAGGAAATAAATATCATTTTATCCTTCTCAGCAATAACTGATAAAGATAAAACGATACTTGTATCAAGTATACATCTCCAAAAAGGATAACAATTTTTGTCGAATCATATTTAACGGAAAATATCGTAATCTCACGTAAGTTCCAGTCATGAGGAATAATTATATTTAAATAATTACATTCGTATAAAAAAGCTACGCTGTACTCTCAATAAATGACAAATACGAGATACACTCAACATATGTGCGCCTGGTTGCATTCTCAATATTTTACATAGATGGAAATAAGCATATTAAAAATGAAATCCACACAATTTTCTTGTATTAAATATTTCATTCGCTGATGTACATTTCCATGGATTTCACCTCTACTCTAGATCCGTCTATGAAAACCAGCAAAAAATGTTAGCTCGAATGTTCCGTAAACGCGATGCCCCAACCATAAATGCCGCGTTTAAACGCAATGTGTACTCCATCCTGTTAAAAATGTGCGCTTCAAAGGAGAGAAAGATGAGGATAATAAAATTTCATAATTCTAATAGTATGCAATTCTTCTTTGACCGCTATGCAAAAGACGTTTTCAATAAGTCGATCGTTACGAATGCAAATGTACTTCGTTGTGTTTTCCATCTAAAGTCCCATCGCGAAGAAAGTTCAAAGATTAATAAGGAAAAAGAATACGAAGACTAAAATATCTTTTTTTTTCTCAAGTACAAAATATCTTTAAGATCTTTGTGCAAATTGTATTACTGGTAAAATTTTACGAATGTTGATTTTTTTGTATTTTTTCCTTCGTTTTTACTGTTATCTTTTGTAGTAATATTAATGTAACAACAAATCTACACATAGTTTTAAAACAATTTATGATTTATAATTATAATTCGTTTCGATCTAACGAATTAGATCGCGATGAGACGATGGAAATATCCGATAAAAGTCGGAATCAGGTACGCGTTGGAGAATAACGCACTTTGTATTTGGCAGTGTCGTCGACAAGTTCGAAGCGCACATTTTTGACGAGCACATTCTCACTTTTAGACGTCAGATCGTACGTAATAAAGGGTACATGAGATACCTTACGTATCTGTTGCTTACGCGACATGAGTTCAATCGATACGGCGTATAAATTAATAACTAATGACTAATCTCGTTAGAATAACTTTGTACAATTTATACAGAACCGTTTGCGTGATATGATAATATATATAATATGTATATATTTATATATATATATATATATATTACGCATTTTTATTGTTACTTCGTTTCGTTTTAAAAACGTATTTACTACGTGCGCCCGTTTTGGAAGAATTATACGTGGCCCTTTTCTTTATGGAGATTAGCCCTCGCTTGCCTTAGGATTTAGGAACGTTATATCCAAAATAATATATTCTATTTGTCGTGGCCTGAGCACAGGCTATCGAAAATAAATGCCACGCTTTACGAGGCCAGTCGCGATGCCAAGTGCGAATCGAGCATGACACGTTAATCTTTTCGCTATGACGATTATACGTACCTATCTACTTTAGTTTTCATCGTGTGCTGAGAAACACTGTTTCTCGCATACCTCTAATTGTTCGCATTAAGGACGATTACATCCATTGAAATGCCCATTCACATTTCGCATTTGATTCCGATTCTCGATGCTTAGCTGTTTAATATACAGATGAGAGATGTTATCATGGACTCAGACTCGAAGTAGCTCATTTAGTGCCGAACACGGGACATGAATATGAGCGATTGCTGCGTATTGCAAGCCGTAATACTCGTACGTTACGTTTGGGTTTCACGATTGAAAACAATTGTTTCATCCGCAGGAAATGAAGCCTTTCGACAAAAACCACCGTAGCGAAAGGATCATTCTACGTACAGAACAAGCAGGCACAGTCGATCGATAAGTTAATTTCGTGTACAGCGCAGTAGAACAATTGCGAACGATTGCCTGTTGCGCTGATTGTTTCCGAGACAATGACTTCGGAACAAAATCACTTTGACGTTCGAAGAGATCGCGGAACTATCCCTTATATCGAATTATTCTAAAAATCTTAAAGTTTCATTTTCACAAACAAACTCGTCTCGATACGATAACGTACGCGTATACTTTCAATATTGCTATAGTATTAGAGTCGTTATCTCTCTTAGAGCATAAATCGTTTTAATAATTTCAACTTTAACTAAATGCTTAGCTGTTCGTCGTAAAAAATAGAAATATTGTTTTTAAAATAAGAACTTACTTTGTACAACAGCAAAGAGTTCAATTATTGCTTATGGAGATAAAGTGAAATACTTTGTCTCCGAGTTATCAAATTTTCTTATAGACAAAATTTGTCAATTAATAAATAAATAGTTGACTGCGCTTGCTTAATTCGTACGCGGTTTACCCAAATCTTAGTTCGCGCTTAAGCGGATCAATCGGTTATATCGTATATTCTTCTCTCTGTTTCTACTATCCGGTCAAAAAAACATGTAACAAACGAAAAATTTACACGCGTGGACATTCCTCCCGGAGCGATCACGCGGAAACTTTTGTAGCTCGCTAACATTCGCAAGCTAAAATGTGACTTTTACAGCTATTTAAGATAAAACTTAATCGAACTAACAGTACGTCAACGGGAATGGCAGTATACATGGCAGTCGAAAGTGCAGCGAAGTTCAAGATTGGAATATTAGCCTGGCGTGACCGCTCAGGCGTTAAATGTTTATTACTCGAGGAACATGTCGCGCAACAGCAAATAGTAATATATAAGAGAGAAGAATGTCGTCTTTCCTCTTCTTTTATTTTCTTAATATTTTTCAAAAATTGGGATCACTTCTATCTCACAGTGTGATACAAAGTGAAGAATAAAGAAAATATAAGCAAGGTTCGATGATACGTTAATTAGTCTACTTGCTAGAGTGTTTAAAGAAAGATAATACTACGCGTTGTCTCCATTCCTTTTGTAATGTTATCTTTTTTGAAAGACCTTATCCGAATACAAAACAACTGACTATATTGCGTGTACATAATGAGGTCTATCGGCATAGTATTCAAATGCCGCGAGCATTAGTTACGAAGCGATTCAATCTTCCAAGTCTTGAGAGTGTTGAAATAATGTTCCTACCAGGAACTGTTATTGCGCTTAGTACAAACACAAGATCACTCTACAGCTACTGCCATCAGTTAAACGTAAACGTTGCCATGGAATACTTAATATATCGTCAAACTTGTTATAAATCTTTTTGATATTGTATATAGCACAAAAAGTACAAGATTCACTCTACTTAATTGTCATCAAGCTTGTATATAAAATTAATCAACAAATTAAATCGATGTAGCTTTTCAGAAACTACATCGATTTGATTTGCTGTTGTGGGCCGTTGAAAAAAACGTGGCAGCGTTTCGCGCCAAGTATATAGAAATATAGCGACCTGCGAGACGCTCTACAATGTATCTTTTATTATATATACGACGCGCTCAATCGAACCGTATTCGACGAGCGTTAGCGACAGCTGATTGCGAAACGGCCTCCCGTAGTCGAGAGTACGATCGTTCGTTGTGATCGAAGGCCGTTTGTTCAGGCACGTCCTGTATTCACTACGTCCAGGCAGTATTTAGCTTTCACGGTGATCACCTAGTCGACTAGACTCCGTCGGAGCGTTATTGCCGCTTGCAAAGATGCTATTTAGCTTATTGTATCGTTGACTGCCCGTACTACTCATTGTATTAGAGGCCGAAGAATTGTGTTGGCTATAATTGCCTGTCCTTGAAAAACTAGGCAGCTTGTCTGCAAGAAGTAACGACAGAAATATGTTAGAAATATATCATGTTTGATCATTCAAACAGACTTGAGTAAGTTTAATTAAAGGTAAAACGATAAATTAACACTAGACGTTTTTATATTCATTAAAAAAGGAGGGAACTAAGCGAATAAATTATTATAAAAATAAAGAAATAAAAAACCAAATATTTCATCAGTATAAAGAACAGAATTATTAAAAGTAAAAAATTTTTTTAATTATACTTTTTACACAAGAAATATAATATTAATCTAAAAAATAGAAACGATTAGTATAATATATTAACTATTCGGTACTTTTAGTACAGTCAAGTTTTCTCTTTCAAATAGATTACCTTTACTACGATTATGCCTCAGTCTCTCCTGTGAATTCGTACTTCCGCATTGTCTCTGGGGGATGCAGGAGTAATTGCTGTCGCTACTGTACGTGGGCGAGGACGTCCTGTTTCTTCTTCGCGGACTTCTGTTACTTCTGCTTCGGGAACCCGTCCTGCTACTACTGTGACCGCATGCCGTACTGTACTGCTGCGTGTTGTATTGCACTGTGTCGGCGTAGAGGCAGCTCGATTCCGAACACGAGCAACATGCGTCCGAGTGTGTGTTGGAGTCGCATGACTTCCTGTCCCACTCATCATTCTCAGGCTGATAGAGATTGTCGTTGTGGAACATTTCGTCTCTGTGTCGATACAGCTCCTCGCTCATGGCGGACGGCGTCAGATGTGACTGCTGATTGTTAGAACGAGCAAACGCGGGATCGGCGCGCGCGCCGTAATCGTCTGGCAGACCGTTCTGGTGATGGCCATAAATCACGGAGCCACTCTCGTATTCATTTTCCTGGTTCTTGTAATCATAGTGATTGAAACCCTGCGGAAACGAGGGTAATGGTGGCGGATTAGTTTGCGGTGGCAGCGTCGTGTACCTGCCTTGCGGAACTTGAAGATTACCAGGCACCTGAAGAGCGCCGGTATCCGAGTGTTGATTCTGTCCGCTGCCGTTCCAGGGTGTCGGCGACGGGCTAAAACTATTGGTCACTCTGATAGGCGGTGTGGGTGGACTTTGCGGATTGCACGAACCGGCACCTGAGCCACCGCAGTGATCTAGATCGTTTTGAACGTTTCTCTTGCTGAGATGCGGACTGAATGGTACTTGTTGCTGTTGGTGCGGATGTTGCAACTGATGCTGCTGCTGCTGCATTCGACCAGTGGTTATGGATGTGCCGAGAGGGGGTGGATGCTCAGGTGGCGGCGGCAACATGTCACACCAATTGGGCATCGGCATACCGGTTTGTGGCGCATCGCCTGCAGAGCCTGTTATTCTGTACTGTCTCCTTTGCATGTCCAGATTCTCATCAGCGTAGGCGGCGTCGCCACCGCTCATGTTGTCACTGCTTGGCGACACCGTAGACTTGTTGGGCTCCTGATTCGAGTCCAGGCTTGAGTAATCCGGTTTCAGACACGAATCACTGGAGTTTGACTTCTGACAGCTGGTCTCGATCGAGTCTGAGTTACGACTGCCCACGCACAGAGTCGTGGTCGCGTACGGTTCCGGCGGCGGCGCTTGCATTTGCTTGCGTGTGTTGTAGAACGTCGTCAGATTTACTTCGGCGTATTCCGAGCCGGCCATGCCCATTATTCCGGCCGCCAGCATATGCTGATTATTGAGTAACTTGGTCTCGCAATCCTTGTCGTTGGCGGCCTGGAGGGTATTAGTTGGCCGCCAACCTCGTTCCAGCCAAAGCGTGTCTTTATTCAATTGACAGATATCGTTTGCGGTACTCACAGGTACATTCAAGTGACCCAGTTGTTTGCTCATCGCTTGCCTACGTCTCACATACAGGGCGGCGAGCAGCACGGCGATAACGGTGAATATCATCGTTATTATCAACACAAGGAACCACGTTTCTCTGACAACGGACGCACCTCCGTGGCTGGGATCGGTACGCGGTGGTAATTGCGTCAGTTGTCCTGGATCCATGTTCAACAGAGTCGGACTAGAAAAAGGACCCAGTCCGACCCGAGTTTGTCCAGCAACGCGAGCCGTATATAAACCGCCAGTGGTCAGGCTGTTGATGATCACCGACGTGGTGGACGCGTTCAGGGACATTTGACCCAGGATCTTGTTGCTGCTGTTGCTCTTGATCTGAATCTGTATCGAGCGGATACGAATCGATAGTGAGATATAGAGAAATACGTTCTTATACCATCAGGGAAAACTAATGGCGACCCTTACCTTGTAACCAATCAATTGACCGTTCTGAGTGTTCTTCGGCGGCGGTGACCATCGAACGAACGCCGAGGTCATATTTATCATCCCCACGTGAACGTTCTCGGGAGCGCCCGAGGGCATGTCCTCCAATGTAGTGACCAGCTTCACGTTGCTCGGTCGACCTTCGATTATCTTGTAGAAGGGAACCAGGAAGAATTCGTAACGCGTATACTTTTTCAGATTAGTCAGCACGTAACTGGTAGCGCCAGCGTTGAGCACCGTAACCATCTGATATTCCGGTTTCTCGGAAACCTCGCGATATCGTATATAAAGACCCTCCACTAAATCTGCCGCGCCCAGAATCTAAAATTCAAATTCTAGTATGTTATTCTAATCCTTTGTTGTTATTTTAATGTTTTCCAATTCCAATATCCAACTGCCGGATATCTCAAATACCGAGAGAGATTTACTGAAAAATTTTTTTGTTAAAAAAATTCAACGATAGTTGATAGCTCTCATCTCTATTTTTATTTCTAATATAAATATAGTCTGGATAAAACAAATTCTTGCTAAAGTGGATGCATTTGATATAAATAAGTATCTTTTTAAAATAAACAAACGTTATTTCTGTACTATCGAAAAGATTTATTTTTAGAAATTTTCAAGTTAGCATCTGCCATCAAGTTCCGCGTGTTGTTATGCTAAATTGATACCAGCAAAATGCCGCGTATAATGTTGCCCGATACTTACGTCCCACATGATCTTTACGCTGGTACTGGTCAACGGTTGCACCTCTTTGAGATGTAAAATCTCGCTATTCAACCGATCCCTGGCGCGAGTCAGTTCCACTTGCGGTACCGTATGCTGATTTGCGTTAGTAGTTTGTACGACGTCCGACAGTGGTCCGGGCAGCGAGAGCCCCTGGCTGTTTTCTGCTCGTACTAGGAAAACGTAATTGGTCTCCGGCCTTAAATCTGTCACCTGTTGATGAGATAAGTAAACCAGATTCGTTAGTTTAACGAATAAATAAAAAATAAATCAATTCTACGTATACACACATAGGTATATGTATATCCAAGTACTGTTTTCTGCTTATTCAGTAACACTAGGACCGTTAATGATATTTTAATTCCGCTAATCACTTAAATTCTTTTTGTATATATATTAGATGTATAGAATATTGAAAATTCCTATGCATATCATAAAATAATTCTAATGGTACAAATAATTTTTTACCAATCAAAAACAAGAATAAAACATTATCAAAATCTTCCGTAATTCTATAATAGCAGGATACCATCGGCGGTTGTAGTGTTAACCATTAAACGTTTACTTTTTTTTTATATTGCGATATTTGTTCTTTTCGAGAGATACATTCTTGAAAAAAAAGGGCTGGTTAAAACCTCATATTGCACGGCAGCGAAATTTGAAGTATATTGCGTCTGTTTGATACAGGATATTAAAGTCTCTTATGTAGACAACCATTACTTTGTGGCATTAGGCTTCTCGAGCTCTTTATTAAAACGTAATTCCAACACGAAACTTTGATATTGGATTTTTCAACGCGACAGTAAACGACTTAGGTTTATCGGTCCGTTACCTGACACCGTAATGTCGCGAACTGTCCTCGCCAGCGTAGCAGCAGCAGCAGCAGCACGCGTTCTAAATTTTCAAAAAACAATGCACAAAGGAAGGGAAACTGAAAATGCCTACTTGAGAAGATCGTTGAAACACGAGGCGGGATATAAGCACTGGGGAAAAGAGGTCAAGTGTCATCGTCGATTCTCGATAAGCTCACCGTGTAGATGTCGTCGAGAACACCCGTGGCCGCTACCACCCAGCCGGTGTTCAGGTTGCTGCTGTAATACTCAATATTGTAGCCAATGATCTTGCTTTGGCCTTCATGGCCTGGGCTCCACGTCAGAGTGACGGAATTGCTGGTGGCGTTTACTATCCGCGGCTTACTCGGATTCTGCGGCAAGGCCGACATATCGGGTGTCCGATGAAAGCTAGCACCGGTGCTGATGGTCAGGTACGCCGACCAGGAGGTGTTGCCGGACTCCGATGAGGCGATACAGGTGTATAGGCCAGAATCATTGGCATGCAGGTCGTCGATAAACAGCGTGCCGTTGATAGCCATCGTGATGCGGCCGCCCGGTCGCACGAGTACGCCTTCCTTGTGCCAGTGAACCCGCGGCGTGGGTGTACCGACCGCACGGCACGGCAACGAGGCGACACTCTTCAGCGGCAGGGTCTGATTCGCCGGGCCCAGCTCGATGATGGGCGGTGGAGTCTCCTCGACGGACGTTACCTATTCAACGATAACGATTTTACTTGAAACCTACTTGAAACCCCTGTGGATCTCATTCAGTGGAGAAGAAAGTTGGCTGGCTAAATGCCATGTTCTGTCTTTTTTTAATTCTAGGATACCAAAATGGAACGAATTCAGAGAGAGAGAGAGAGAGAGAGAGAGTTCATGAGGCTTACTTTAATATACTTTAATATACGTAAATAACATTGAAGAGTTTTAAATTCTTTGAAATAAATTTCACTCTTTTAGAGTGAAATCTCACTCTAAAGAATTTAGAGAGCAACGATCAAGACAAATTTTATTCGGAATATGTCTCTTCAAACAAAAAAACGATAAAACAATTCCTTAAGTAGGCACTAATTGAAAAAAGAAAGCATAAAAGGTGATCAGGAATCGGCACTATAAGTGATACGCTTAAATCTTACATCTTTTCAATCTTTTCGAGAAAAATGACTACATAAATGTCCATAATTCGCAATTGGAGTCTTGACATTTTAGCTCGGAACTTTGCTGAATCCACATCTTTTTTTACTATAATGTCTAGAATATAAAGTACGTGCTGGCGACTCGTGATACTTGGCTACTGAATTGAACGAATACCTTTTCTAACAAGTTCGTTCGAATATCCACGTCGTTGAAAATATGTAATTCAAAAGTTTCCTTTCTATATTACACCTTTCAACTTTGACCCGTTGCGAGCGAATAAGTTATGGAGTTTTCATTCGCCAAAGTAGATCGTCGTAATGCTCCCTACATGTAGATAAGAATTTTATTCCAGAATGTGGGGCAACTCCCCTCAGGCTAGGACCGTGGTACCACGGTGCACCAGCCGGAATGGTAATTCTGCACTCATCCGGAAGGGAACGAGGAGGAGGAGGGGATGATATAAATATGTATCGAGAAAATGAACCACTTAATGTGCGCGCTCGCTTCTCTTTCTCTCTCTCTCTCACCCAGACAGATTTATCTTGCCCGTATATTTCAAACTGTTGCGCGTCCGTTTAGCACGCGACTTTCGTTGTCCTATACGTGAGGATACACATTACGCATGATTATTGTCAGTTTGCAACTATTATACTAACTCGTATAACCATTATAGCACGAAATAAAAAAAAAAAAGAAAAGTCATGACGTTCGTGACGGAGAAGATTTTTAGGCGATCGTAGGCGACTGTCAAGCATGGGGTTGAATCACACCGTCGTTGAGACGTGGATTACAAGGCTTACGTACCTGAAGAAATACGGTGGCAGTGCTGGCGCCGGCCTGACTAATAGCGCTGCACACGTAGTGGCCCTCGTCCTTCCTGACGGCGCCCTTGATACTCAGACTTCCGTCTTCCGTGACGGTGTAGTGGCTTTGATACGTGTGGCCGGGGAACATTAGCTCCTGAGAACCCTCCCGGGTCCAAAATATCGACGGCTTCGGAGCACCCCTTGCAGCGCATGAGAAGGTGACGTCGGTGCCGGCATTTACCGTCTCGTCTTTGGGAAAATTGGTGAATACCGGCCTCGCTGTAACAAACAGTTCGACTTGAACATGTCTCCTCATCGTATAAATTATCAATTATAGTTCCGATTTTATAACTTAATATTTCTTCAAGCGAATAAAATAAAAATTTTACATATTGTTATAAAATATTCTTAATTAAATTTTTTAAATTGAAAACTTCGATGAAAGATTTAAAAATAGCCTCTTCAGTGATATAGAAATATATCAAATACCCTAAAAAAAATTTAAATTATAAAAAAAAAAAATTTTTTTTAAATTTAAATCTCTCGTGTGTTTTGTCAGAAATATTATGATAGTTAGATTTTGAGTTTTTCACTTGAATAAAAGAAATAAACGAATAGAAAGTAAAGGGGCCCTAAATGGCCAAGTTACTTTAATGTTCAAATAATTCGAGGTGAATATTTAATTCCTTGCAAACTGCTCGTCGAATTTGCAAGATTGAAGCATATAAATTCACATCGAATTATTTGAGCATTAAATAAAGTGTAACTCGACCGTATAACACTTTTATTTCTTATTTTTCGTGTATTCACATTATAATCTTAAAAGATACTTTGTTAAAAAAATCAGAATAAATTTTGGAAAAAGAGAAGATTTGTACATATACTCGCGATCGACGCTATTACGTTCCCGTTTATATATGTCTGTTCAGAATGCATCCTGCTCGCTTGAGCGTAAAGTTTGGGCTGTCCGGCTATAATACCGTGTCCGCATCGTATGATTGTACCCTCCTATCTCGCACACTCCGAACTACTCAACAACATGTTCGAATTTTCCAAGCCGCAGATTCGATTTCACCGTCGAAGCCAGGCGCAAAAGTCGACATCCGACAGGATGCACATTGCGGGGCTTGATATGCGGTGATAATACGCGTCTGCCCTCCTCTCTGGCACCCCCTTCACTCTCGTCATGATAATCGTACACCGGGCGCGTAATTAATTTCACGGTCGAGCGGATCCTCGAGTGCAGGGAGGACGGGGCAAGTGATGACAGAGGGAGGATTAGTACTCACAGTGCACGGTAAGAGTGGCGCTCGCTGATATCGCACCGACGCCGTTCTCCGCGTCGCAGATGTACGTCCCCTGGTCCTGAGGGTTCACCCGCTCGATGTGTAAACTTTTGTCATTGAGAATATGCGCCCGGCCTATCGGCATCTTGCCGTCGTTTCGACGCCACAGAATCTCCGGCTCCGGGTCGCCGCCCACCCTGCAGGCGAACTCCGCCGTCTGATCCGCGAGGATCGTCTGGTTCGACGGCATGGCCAGGAAGTATGGCTTCACTGTAAAGACAGAGCGAGGATTTGGTTGGAAAATCCCGATAGCGCCGAAAGGGATGGAAAGGGTTTCGGTCTATATTCCGAATATTATACGATCCGCGGCTTTTCATCGGATTCTGAACGGCTTCGTGGTCATAAATTGGCACGCGGACGTTATTTGTTTAATGCAGTTGATCAGTCGGTTTGAAAGAACAAATAACATTTTAGCAATAAATGATAAGTAGACGAATACATTAAAGCATTGCATTAATAATGACATTATGAATACATAATGTTGCTCTGAATTAAAAGATCGTCGATGACAATTTCATTTCGTTCATTTGCAATATGCACGAAATTGAATTGTCTGCCAAATTAGAGCAATATTTAAAAGACGATAAGCTGGAACAAAATAGGACGCAAGAGCGACAATTAATTATGTCATATAACGGTTGTAAATTGTTAAAATAATTGACGATGTCAACAACCGTGGTAAGATGTAGAGAGAGGTAAAGCAATACTTTAATCACCAGTTCTTTCTTGAATATTTTATCCGAATTTGAGATTAAACACAATCACGCGAGTGATGAAAAGTACTTATCGGACAATCAGGATTAGCGTTAAATGTGCAGCGTTAAACCGAGCTAAGCTATGGGGTGGTGACGATGGGGTGTCTACGAATCCGTGTTTGGCCTCTTAGTCTTAATATTGTGAGCAAGGGGATGCGGGGGAAAATAGGACATGTTCGTGTTACGAACTTTTGGTAACGTTTAAGTCAGTGCAGTAGCACAATGAAAAACGTAAGCGACAGAAAAGTGTAAGCAAATTTTTTATTCGTTATACTCTTTAAGTTATTACCTTATTATACTCTACAGTAATTGTCCAATTTTTTTTATTGCTTACATTTTATGTACTGCTTTGTATTTTGTGCGATGGGCTTTAAACTAGTGGCACATATAAAAACGTAAGCAATACGCGAATCAACATTTTTTTATTTGCTATCGCTTACACGTGGAAAAATAGCAATGACTTAATTGTTTCGAGTATATTTCAAAAATTCATATATCCGCAAATTCATCATAAGTTCATCACAAGCATTAAATTAATATTGAAAAGAATTTTGAAATAAATTTAATTTACTTATCTGTACATTGTATATAAAGTCGCTTCTTCGATAAAATTTTATAAATCTTCAAAAGAAAAGAAATTCCTATTTTGAGTACTTGTAAAATTTGCAATAAATATATATTTTAAGATTATTATCAAGAAAATGTTCTTTATTAAAAATAATCGTTACTTAGAAGAAAAAATTCAATTAAGTAATTACTTTTTCTTAGCAATAGAGTGATATTTTTTCTATATGTGTCTACATTATTGTCTTACGTTTCCTCTATTGATCGCTTTAGTTATCGTTTATATTTTACTATTTTTTCATGTAAGGTGATCCACCTCCTATCATGATTCTTACCATGAACCGTGAGGACCGCTACAGCAGACTCTTTGGTGCCGACCATATTTTCGGCGATGCACTGGTATTTGCCCTGATCGGCTGGCCTCACGTCAGATATCATTAGGTTTCCCCCGTCCACGAGGGTTATCCTGAAACGGCCGATGAACGATTAATCAAGACGCGCGACGTTTCCCATTCGATAAGAGCGGCGACGGCGAAAATTACGACGATTAATTTCCGTCTGCCGAGATCGACCGCGTCTTTAAGCGCCGCAAGCATCGTCGCGTCGCTTAAAGTCGGGGAGAAGACATAAATGGTCCAGTAATGTTCTCTATACTTCACGTAATACATATATTTATTATCGTAATACATTATTATCGTATTAGTTACCCAAGTTTCGTAACTTGAGACCGCGGGCGCAGGCGAAAGATCGTTTTTCGCGTGAACTGTCGCGAGACAATTTCGAGCAGTAACCCCTCTCCTCCGCAAGGTATGTTTAATCGTTCCGTTCCACACGAGACGTAGTTTGTCTTACTCGGCCCGGTTTCCTCAAGCTGGGGAGGAACTTTCGAGAACGACGCGTTTTCGTACGCGCCCTTTGCTTCCCCCTTCCTCTCTTCTCCTTATACCGTCTTGATATTATTTATGCGAGGGAATAAGGCACGCGAAGGCGCGTACTCAAGACTGCGCGTACTTGACATTCCCAAGCCATCCTTATATACCCGAGGGATCGGCTCTTCCCCGCGTCGGCGGTCGCGAGATTAAACGGCCGTCTCGTTGAGGGGGTGCACATGCACAATATCGCGCGTATGGAGAACGATGTTCGCGACGACGCGAATCGATCGATGGCTCTCGATCGCGCTCTCTAATTTATAGTGTCAATTAATTTTCGCGTCGGTGGTGCTCGATTACCTCTCCCCTCCCTCCCTCCCTCCCTCCAGCTCTCCCCCTTGACCTCCTCCCTTCACCACGCTACCATTCTTCCAGCCTTGCTCTCCTTGTCCCGTTTTACCAGGTTCCGCATCGCGCTTCGACTAGAGAGGAGAGTGAAGAGAGAGAGAGAGAGAGAGAGAGAGAGAAGCGCGGTCTCGACACGTTCCGATACGGCCGGATTTAATTCCTATCGGTTGTCCTAATTTATCGCGGCTTCGGGCTTCCATCGGTAAATCCGGCGCGGGGACGGATGGTGGTGGAGGAGAAACAAGGGGGAGAATAGGGGGAAGAGAGCGGGAGGAGACGGGGGGTTTCCGCGGGCCGTCGCAACGGAGGAGAGTACCCTATTGATCGAGACGAAGGAGAGGAAAATAGCCGTCGAAACGAGCGAGTGAGTGAACGGAGCGCGTGCGAGTTTCGCTTAGTTTCGTTTCGTTTTCGAGGCGCGAGAGATCTCGTCGGGGGAAAAAAAATGTCTCCATTTCTCGCCTTCCGTCGACTTTGCGCCTCACACCCTCTTGGAAATCCGAAAGGAACAGAGGATAAAAAAGGAAAATCGTATGTCACGTGCCCTCGGGTGTCGGGTCAAAACGTGGTATCGCGTCCCATGGAGGACGGAAATCCATAAAAGAAAAAGAAGGAATGTGCCGCGGGTCCTCGCGAGAGCGTTAAGCCAACGTGTACAATACGGTTGTAAGCGACGACGGTGTAAATGAAAGTAATTACACGAGATATAGAAAAATCTAACCGTACAGAGATACAGTCCGTACCTATATGACGAGGAATAAAAATCGTAATCGTGGCAGAGCTAATTAATTATAGTGATTTACCAAGTCGATTAATTATATTCGACCTTTATCTCGCTCTCCCGTTGTAACATCGTGGAGAAATATAATCGTTTACCGTACGATCTTTTTTCATTGTGCGTTCGAAAACTTTGATAATAAGAATGTTTTTTTATAAAAAGTCCACGTGACGAAATGACGGGCAATAAAAATCGTAATTGTGGCAGAGCAAATCAATTAATAATTTATTAAGTCAATAAATTACACTCAACTCCCCTCTCGCGCTGCAACACCGCGGATAAATTTCTCCTTAATCCCCAGCCGTGTTTTTTTTCATCATGCATTCGAGAACTTTCGTAATAAGAATCTTTTTTTTTTCTTATCTTCAACGGAGTTTCGCCGATCGGAAGGGTGGTCGTGAGGATTTGCCGACATTCCTCTTGAGAAAGAGAGAGAAAGAATGAGGGGAAAAGGACGGGATCGCGGCGCGAAAAAAAACTAAGAGGCGTTCAGCGCCCCATGAAAGTTTGATCGAGTCGATCCACGGGGATTCGGGGGAAAAAAAATCACCCGTTTCCGAGATACGAATGGCAGACGGAGGAGCGCGGAAGTGTGCCGGGTCGTTACAACGAGGTGGCTCGCGCAAGCGTACGCTTAAAAGCTTGATCCTGCAGGAAGAGAGAACGAGAGAGAGAGAGAGAGAGAGAGAGAGAGACGGATGAGGAAAAGGAAGAAGGAGAAAGGGTAAATTCGTACCCCGCCGAATTTATACGCCGATTCCTGCACGGAGTCGCGGCGGTGGGTCTATCGAGCCTCTCGTTTCTACTTCGGTTATATAAGCATGCTTTCAACTAACGTAATCGCGCGTCGAGACGTAAATACAAGTAAATACAGGGCATACTTTTCGTGATTACGCGCTTTGTTATATGTCAAATATCATAGCGTGATTTATTATTAAACTGATAAGCCTCGGTGGGAAATTTTATTGACACATCGCGCAACGGATTTACTTCCGATTGATGAAAATATCAGTGACGGCGTTAAATACAGAGATATTCAATGCGTCATCGAGCACCGCGAATAGAAATGGATGATGTTTAAATCCAAGCCGATAAATGCGGATGCGGTTAATTTAATCCGTCACACCTCTTTTTCAATTTTAATCGTAAAAAGGCTTATAATAGAGAGGCTATAATAAGTTTAATCTTAAAGAATAATACTAGTTATGTAAAATGATATTTTAATATGAAGCTCATTGAGGTGTCAAGATTCTTCAGTTCATTTTTATGGAGGGACTTAGAGCGGTATTCATCCGTTTTTATTTTAAGACCGTCTTAAGTAATATCTTAAGATGCTAAAGTTGTTTTCTGATTGACTTATGATTGACTTAAAACTGTACTTAACGCTTAATCTTAAAGTCGCCTGCCTGTTTTACCGATTATTTTTCAAATAAGTATTTTTTTAACTTACACACACACGCACACAAATTTAAAAATCCTTTTCCACAATTAAAGTATAAACTGCGTCATACTTGATTGATAATACGACATCTTTTTTAATCCAAACTCTTATACATTATTATTCTGTCTTATACTTAAACGTATACATCTGTCTTTATCTAACATATTGCAGCGCCATCTCTTACGAGATCCAATATCTACTACTAAACACAATTACCGCTCTGTACAATTTTACTCTTCACACCGATTTTACTCGTAGCATACAAATGAAATTTTCAGATATCCTCTTCCTCTTATACTGAAGACTAGGATCTTCTCATTTCTACAAGCATAATATTGTTCTTTTATGTAATTTCTAGTGCGATCTAAGCTTACATTTCACGACTACGGAAGCTGATGACAGCTATAATTTGTCAATTTGCTTTCGTTTTTCGTATAAAATTGTTGCCTGTGTGCTTTGTCTATACCTAAACAGTGGAGAAGGATTTTTAAATCTGGTGTAAATGCAATAAAAAGATCGGAGGATGTAAAAATTAATCACATTCGATCGGTAAAACAGAACAATTTCAGTATCCCCTTAAACCGGGGAACTTGGAAAAAGTAAAAGCAAACGCGAGATAACCGTCCGTATTTGCGTTAGCGGCGGCATTTGATACGATATTTTTTGTTCTGGCGACGTCCCTTTTACTCGCCGGCGCGTCGCTGTTAGAATTAAGTTAATCCGGAGTTCCGTCCGTCCCTTTCTCTCTGCTACACCCTCTCACATCTATAAAAGTAGATTTCCCGGCCGTAATCCCGCGAGCGTAAAAGTTGCTCTTACTGCCGCGCGACATTATTGCGTATGGAGACACACAACGTAAAATTCCCATACATATACACAACATAAATACGAGTATGTATACAGGCGGTTTCTCGCGTATGTGATGGGGCGCGACGTTGCAATTTAATCGGGAATGGGCGGGTTTGAAGCGGATGCGCTCGCGCTTTTCAAGGACCCGCAAATTGCGAACGGAAGAACGGATATTTATTGTTGTTTTCATATTCGAGACCCAGGTGCAGACAAGATCGAATTAATCGCCGCATATTAGAAGTAACGAAACGCGCGTCGAAACACACTCGGTGCTTATATTTTCGAGTTTATTTTGGATTTAATTTAACTATTATTTACTTGCTCATGTTTATTGCAGCAGCGGTCACGCGCGCTCCCGTTCAGTTTATTTAGAAACATTGCAACATTCGGTGTAACCATTTAGATAAAGTGAACGTTTGTCTTGTCCGTTTAGTGCCAGCGAGTCGGACGACAATCGGACAAAGGCGCGGAGAAAGAAGTAAAAAGGAAGCTCACACGGCTTAAAGTCATTTTCAAGCAGCCGGCAGCTGCTGCGAGTTGTCCACGGCGATGGGTCCCCAAGTTCCAAAAAGAGGGGAAAGGCTCCGCCGGCAAAATAGTCGACCTCGCCTCGCATTTAATCATTACGCTTTTTCGCTGCGCGTCGGGCGTGCAATTTCGTTGCGTTTTCGGCCGTCATCGCGCGGTGTGTCGAGCGAAATTCAAAGGGACGGGACCGCGGATCACAAAGAAAGCTCACCGTTTTGTCGCTTCCAGGTCTATTATGTGACCGTTCCTCTTCCAATGGAGGGTCGGCTCCGGATGGCCGCGAGGCGGTCCGCACTCCAGCAAAGCCGTCTCCCCAGCGGCGACCCTCGTGTTCTGTGGCTCTGCGCGAAACTCATCCCGTAGCACTGCAACAGACAACAACCCGTCACGATGATGCACCGCTGCATTACAAAAGACACTACGTTGCTAGTTGTCTGTCTGGGGCAAGGACAATACTTTCGCGTGCGTAACTGGGACAACAGAGGGAGCGAAAAAGTACGTTTGCACTTTGTTTTTCCTTTTCCTCGTAAATGAATGAAAGTAGAGCGTTTTTACACTTATATATTTTTTCATCCTTTATCAACGACGTCATTTTATCGAATCATTCTGATATCGACTTACTCGTTGAGAGAGTGCCATAACTACGTTCAGTTTGAAGCGCGCTCTGAAGTTTTAACAAGCTTTCACAAAAGTCATCCGATTTTTCGCTCGTGTACCGCCGAAGTGTAGAACTAGGACAAACTAAAATGAATTTCAAATACCCGCGACGGATTCGGGAACACCGGGAGGAAAAAAAAAGCAGATTGTTCTTGGATGACCAAAACGTCTCGTTATTCTAGTCGGATTTCACGTGTGAATAATTTCTTCGCTAAAATCGCAATACCGCGCGTAATATTGGTTTTTATTCGATAACGTTTGTTTACGTATCCATTTTCTAGAAAGATCTCTCAATATTTCACTAAAATTACTTGGAGAGTATTCAGATATAAGGAAAACTCTCAAACAGCAGCTATTTTGAAAGGAGAACATTTTCAGAATACCCATGCGTCTTTAGAAATTTGTGTATGAAAAGAACTAGATGCCCTATTCAGTCTTTGTAAGAATGCAAAGAGGAGAGCGGAGAATAAACGATATATATTTATATAAATGTGAAAATATTTAGGGGTTGACATTATACCTCCGTTATAACAGAAGAATGGTAAATCGGGTCGCCCCGGGAATAGATTAAGGCTTATATTTGAATAGTAGAGCAAAAGTTCGAAAATTGTACGATATGTAAGGAAACGGAGATGCATCGCGCGGATGCATTACCGGGTTAAGCGTGGAATGACTGTGAAATGAGTGTATATACACGCAGCGCGCGAGCACGAAGCCCGCTGCGTGCCAGCCGAGCAGCTAGCCTGGAAGCTACGAATTGAAATTTGAGACAAACGGAGGGCGCAAGAGGGAGCGAGTAGAATGAAGGAGGGAGGGAAAGCGCTCCCGACGCGGAAGAAAGGTCGCTTTTATAGACGGCAAGGACGGTTTGAAAAACGTGGGTCGCTATCTCGGGTCCCGAGACCCTAACGATTCCGACGGTAAATCAAATGTAACGCAATTTCTCAGAAAACGAGGAGAGGGAGATAAAGGGATCTCGGCTTCATCTCGGGTCCTCGGCCCGGTCCAGCTTTCAACCCCTTTCGCCGTGTCGCAGTGGCACTCTGTAAACTTTCCCCGGGAGTGACGTACGCGGGAGGTCGGTCGGGACCACCCTCATCCCTTCTCTTCTCTACGTACCCCAATCCTCCGCGGTTGCCTGCTCTGTTTGTGTATATACCTTATACGGTATATACCGAATTTACGTGAATCCCATAGGCTACGTGCGCGCACGCGGCAACGTGAAAAATGAGGATTGCGCTGCCGTGGGCCAGGTATACGTCACGTAAATAGGTACACGGTGCATACGGAATCAGGATCAGGATCGGGATCAGGCGCGCTCTTTATAGCCTGGGGTTTCCGGATTATTCGAGACTCCTACTGTCTCAATCTAAAAGGATATACATAAGATAATCGCGTATGCAAAATAGGAGCGTAAAACGGATTTCTAAAATCGATTACAGCAATTGCGAGACATTTAACCCTATTTAGTATTGTTTTTCAACTCTATATACTGCATACACGATGATTTTCCAGTCCTTTACTGCACAAGATCGGTAGTTCATATTCTGGCATAATTTTCATCATATTAATAAACACACAGAAATTATTTAGTAATTCTTCCATGTATAATACTTTAACATCTTTAAAAAGTACTTGTAAGTCGTGTATTTAAAAGAATTACATATAAATGTTATAGCTAATTATTTGACGCTTCTGTTATAGCTTTCTGTGTAGTTTCTCGAAGAAAAGAGGCGTACAGAACGTGAATAATTCAATTGTGTAAAATGAGAGTTAATACACTTTTTCTGAAAGAAAAATGTCAAAGTATTGCGAAGCAAATATTATTTATTATATTTTTTTAAATATATATTAGTTATAAAAAATTTAATTAAAAAAATTTGATTGTTATGACGAATATACATTTCTGTAAAATATATCTCATTAATTGCAAAAATATAAAATAGATGTTTTGCGCGCGCGTGCGTAGCTTATTCGCTAGAAATGAAATTTTATTTAAATAAACATTTATTTCAGTGAAATAAATATATTTCATATACCAATAAATTTTAAGTATCTTTTTCTCAGTGTAATAACATTCCAATAACGTGAATAACAGCATTATTTTATCGTATATTTAACAAGCTTAAAACTATTAATCTCTATTTTACTTTTATCGATAAATACTCCGCATTTATAGTATCAGGAGACATGGTAGTATCAGGTGAATATTATAATTTTATAAAACGTTAACATTTATGAATGTTAACCTGAGAATAATCACCAGCGGAATTTTTATACTATCTCAGCGACAAAAAATTGTAAAATATTTTGTGTAAATATTGTTTAACATATTTTTCTTAATAGCATAGACGTGCCATTTTTTAAATTTATTAGGAGAAAGGAAAAATTTATTTTTTTTTCACAATCATACAAAATTATCGCAACTAAAAAATATAAGCAATCAGTCTATGTATAATTTTTTTTATTTAAAGTAAATATAATTTTTTAAAAATCATAATAAAGATTTTTAAACTACAAAACGTTGTAAGTTAAGATAAAAATTACATAATAGATGTGACACGCCTAAACTATTCTTTAGAAACCTTTAAGTAGATGCAATTTCGTTGAAAAATTACCTAATGTAAAAAAGCGTTACATTGATTAAAGTATTTATTTAAAAAAATACTGCCATAATAATAAGCTACTTACTTTGATTAATTTTTTAAATTTCTATTTTTTGCAAGAGATTGTGATTAAATCTATATCCGTAATGGTTTGAAATATAATTATAAATTGAAAACAATCAATAAATGTATAATATAACGTGTGATAATAATTTTGATTGAAGTGTAAAACATCTCAAGTGCGATTGTTTATAAAAAAATCAGACAGACTACCCTTAATCTACTCTTTATCTACAAAAGTGAGATATAAATATGGATAATTGTTTTTATCAAACGGAAAAAATATTGCGCTATTATGTTAAATACAAAGTGTTACATTTATTATGTTATATCTACTACATAAATTTTCCTGCCAAGTTTTTGTGATTTCCTGAAATACAAGAAAACTAGACTATGAGATAAAGACTGATAAAGGCAATTATAATACAATTATTTATGGTATCATTAAAAATGTTTAACATATAGTGTCTAAACTTATCAATATGACACGTACAAATATTGCTAAAACTGTTCTCGTTAGCGCCCACGGTCATCGATACTTTTTGCGACAGCGCATTCTATGGCGGTCATCGTCAGCGCCGGCCGGCGCACGGTCGCTAAAGAAAATCTCAATCTCGTGCGTCGCGTATCTCGTTTACATAGAGCAGGACTTGAATCGATAATGTGACACGGTCGGGCAGGGCGCGCGCGAATGTCGCGGGAATTACACGGGCGTATCGGAGCCGCGAGTCTAAAATTAGACTGTGTGCGCCGACAAAATTATCTGGTCGTCAGCGTGTATCTACTGCGCTTGCATATGGAATGATACGGCGTTAAGGAGCGCTTTATTTATTTATTTATACCGCGCGCGCTTCCACGCGATCTAGAGATCCTTAAAAGTAAGAGATTGAATACCATATATGTTTGGTCCGCCAAATTTTTTCAGGAACTGATTCAGTTAAAATGAGATATATGCATAATCTCCCTTAGCAAAAATAAGATTAGCTTTTCCAATAAACTGCAATGCGGTTCTATCAATAACACTAACGATACCGCATATAGTCAGTAATTGATGAAATCTCGCAGTTACTGGTGTATATATAGTCAAATAGTTTTTATCGAAACATTAATCAGCTTTTTTTTTCTAAGGGCTATTTTTATTCCATCTATTTTAAGCGGTTCTTGAAAAATATGCCAATTTCTTACTTGAGGATTTGCGTGGCGGTCCTCGGGAATTACCTCGCGCTGGTTCGAAGCGCGATTTACTGATCGCGCCGAAAGGCTTCCCTCCGCGAGCGAGCGAGCCGCGTCTCCCTACGCGAACGATCGATATCATCGTAGCACACACTCCCGGGTATCTCGCCACCGAATCCCCGAGTGCGTTTTCTGTGCCAACGACCGCGCATAATCGATATTTCGAGCCACAGAGAGGAAAAAAAAGAGGGAAAAGAGAAATCATTTTATCGGTCGCGTCGGAAGCGCCGTTCCTACAATCGGCATGAACACCGCGACCATATATCCCGGCGTCGCGGATCGTTAGCCGCCGTAAAGCACACACGCACGTTGTTACGTCTCGTACACGTGCGCGCAGACACCGGAATACACGCGTATACACGGGGGCTCACGCACATCGCCACTTCCCTTCCGTGTAATGCCGTTAATTTGGTATTGTAGGCGATCGTGGCTAATGGTTTCCAGCCGGGAGTTGGTATCGACCAAATTTCGATGACGCCGTATTATCATCGTACTGAATGCGCTTTAATGAAGCGTGCATCCAGTCGAATAACGAATCCGGGTCTAACGACCCGGTCCAATTATTTATTATATGCGACAAGAAATCGCAACACGGGCGTCACTTTCGCCGAAATGTTTAGACGAGGCAAAACTTCGTCGTGGGGGTCGTTGGTCAGGAAGAAACGTGTCGCAAAACAGAGGGGCGAAACGACCAAACTTTGGCACTATTAGCGTCGACAAGATACGGGCTGTTCATGCGGTGTACATGGGCTCTCTATGGGAAATCAACGATCCTCTCTCGGGATACTCTACTTGATTTCAACTAACAG